ATATATATATATATATATATATATATATATATATATATATGTGTATATATATGATTTTTTAAAAATAATAAATTTTGTTTTGTTTATTCCCCTAACTTTTTACTCAAAGCGCTTTATTGGTCCAACACATTCAATAACAGAAGACGTTTAATATTATTACTCTGTCTTAAACAGTTTTCCATACTGAGGAAACATTAAAAAAGAGGCTCAAAGAGAAACGTAAGGGGACTCCATGTCTACCTTCTACACATGCATCCCTTTTTCAGTTTTTTAATCTTTGTACTATTTTTGTCCTCTTGGTCCTCTGCTTCTTGTGCCTGCATGTTTGGGCATGGTACTCATGAAGCTTGCTTTTCTACGACACGAAGCAGTGCAAATTACAATCATACAGGAAGTTAATGAGTTTAAAAATACAAGATATTAGTTATAGGAAAGGGAAAGAAGTAATGAATAACAATCCTTTCTTATGTTGTAGCCCTGACAAAAGATTGTGGTCGCTATCTGGCATGTCACATTTACATTATAGTTTGTTTGTTTTTTGCCTGTCACCTCGTACTGTAACGCCTCCTGTTCCCCAAAGTTAGTTTCTTCACCTCACTTCCCCTCTTCCCTCCATTATAGTGCATTGCCCTTAACCCATGTTCACATTCCTCATAACCTTGCAGGCTGGACATCCACTCTTATCTGTGGCTGCATACACTCACGTTTAATCCCAACAAGCTCCTCCTCGCTTCCGTTGTGTGCATTTCTCAAATTTGTCACAGAAGGTCACTGTTGCATTTCAGTTCAATGTGTCTGTCTACAGTATGTGATGCTAAATGTCAGACTTGAGTCTCAGTTGTTATTGTATGAATTAATTTTTGCTATTTTTTTATATTGCTTTTGTTTATTTTTGTTATTTGCTTTGATTTGCTTTTGATGTTTGTTTTGATTCTCTTTGTTTTTAGCTTGTTTTTTGGTCTTTGCTTTGTTTGATATATTTAAGCTTTGTTTTTTGTTGTTTTTTGCTTTGTTTTTGTTTATTTTGATATATTTTTTTAGTAGTAAATTTTTTAGTTTTTAGCCTTTTTTATTGTTTGTTTCGATAAATGGTCTTTAGTTTACTAAGCCTGTGCTTTGCAGATATGGAAGTACAGAAGATGAAGAAAGCAATGGAGTCTTTGATGGCTGCGAATGAGGAGAAGGTAGTTTTAAGTCATAGGTTTCCTTTCCCATTGCTTTTGAAAATCATAAAGGAACTTGGCATTTAATGCTGTTAATGATGCTTTGTTTAGGATTGCAAGATTGAAGAGTTGCGACAGTCACTCATGCGTTACAAGAAAGTTCAAGGGATGGTCATGTCAGCACAAGGGAGAAAAGGTGATTTATTTTGCTTTTTAATAAAAATTCCAAAGTGTTGTCAATGAAATGTGTTTGTCATTCCTGTAATTAGTGTTATTTGTATTATTTATATACTATTGAACTAGCTTTGAATTAGCTTTTATTTTGTTTTAAATGTAATTTTAATTTGTTTAATTAATTTTATGTGCTTTTGTCATTTTATTAATTTTCTAAATCTTATTTAACTTTATTTTATTTCAGTTTTAGTAGTTTTAGTACTTAATTTTATTTCAGTTAGTTGTCAGGCAACATTTCTAACTTTAATTTTGTAAGTTTTGTTTAAGCTGAAGTTTTCATCTAATATTTATATTTTATTTTAGCTTTATTTTAATTAATCAAAATGATTTTTTAAAATAATTTGTGAGCAGTAACAACACTACCTTTAATACAAAAAATACATTATTTAAATTGTAAATTATATATTGTGGAAGGCTACATGGTGATGTAAAAATGTGTAAAAATTTTTTTTTTAATTTTTACTGTAATACAATAATGAGAAACAATGGAGACTCCAAGAAATTACAGGGGAAAAAATCTGTAGGAAAATATACTTATTTATGATAAAAAATATTATTTATTATATTGTATTGTATTATATTATATTATATATTATATTATGTTATGTTATGTTATGTTATGTTATGTTATGTTATACAATTATTTGAATCCTATAATGTGTTGCTGTTAAGTGACAGGTTGTACTTGTTGTGTGCTGTTTTCCGAGCTAATGATCAAATCTCCCTCCTCTCCTGTCTTTCTCATCAGATAAATTCAAAGACGGAGACAGTGATGGGAGCAATAGCGACAGCTCCCTCTCCATGTCCACCGCCCTCTCTGTTTCCATAGACACGGAGAAGTCTCTGCTCTCTTACACAGAGGAAGTTGCTGTGAGGGGTCAAAATGAGGTACAATTTTCTTTTCAGACCAACAAAATTCATATAATATTTCCCTCAAGGTTATACAGTTCACCGTTTGTGGTTAGTTTGCATCCTTGTTAAAAAAAACTACATTTTGTTTTGGCGTGCATAATCTGAAATCACTGCACTGCAACCTAGAATTATTCTTAATTTAGAGCAACACAGGCTGATTGACAGTTCAGCAAAGTTGTGTTGATGGTGTTTTTTCAAGCTAAAGGCTAAATTGAACACTTGCAGAACACACAGCATGTCAACCTGTGGCTTATATTGTCACCGATGATTCAAGACGCAGATAGTCACTTGTCAGGGCGTGACTGAATGTCTTCAGATATTACTGTTCAAAGGTGATGGATCCTTGGAATATGATGTATGCAGTAGAACGTTTTGAGCCAAGGACTCCGAAAACTGAGTGAATAAAATCCATTTATGTAATCAGGGTTATTCTATTTTTTTTTTATTTACTAGTATAGCATTTTTATATTGTTTTAATATTGAATTTTTATTTTATTCCATGTGTTTCAGTCATTTTTATTAGATTTATTTTATTCTTTTTTAGCTTCATTTTATTTATTTATTTCAGTTTTAGTGATTTTAGTACTACAACTACAGTTTTAATTTACATTTTTTTTTTTTAAGTTGAAGTTTTTCATTTAATATTTATATTTTATTCTGTTTTATTTCAGATTTATTTCACTGATCAAAAATTATTTTTAATAGTTTGTGAACAGTAACAATACCTGTAATACAAAATAAATCTGCATTCTAAATTGTAAATTATTTATGTATTGTGAAAGTTGTACATACCGATGTAGCCATCTGAACAACACCTTCTCTTTCTATATTTCAATCTATGCTTACAGATCTAAATTGTTACCTGAACAGGTGATGATGACTAAAAACGGTTTCTTTTTTTATATTAATGTACTTGTTTTTTAATGCCCTTATTGGTAATTGTATGTACAATACAGCACTTTGGTCAACCCATGGTTGTTTTTAAATATGCTTTATAAATACAACAAACAAACAAACAAAAATCCCTAATAAAAAGGCTTAATAAAAAGGATATATTGTATTATATTATATTAAATATGATATTTTTATGCTGGAAAGGTGGACCTCCAGGGGCCTGCATTTTGAAAAATACTGGTGTAGAGAATACACTGGTGTGAATTTACCTTTGCATGTTCTCTTCTTCTGTAGGCGACCACATTTGTCAGTACACTCCAAGTGCCATCGCTCACAGTACATATAACATCCCCAGATAAAGCAGACAACCATTCAGGCCTGGAACACATGCAGTCATCAAGGTACACTTCAGTACATTAAAACACACCTTTTTGTCTGCTGAGTTGTTTTTTCACGCAGGATCATCATCTGATAAAATCTGGACAAGCAAACATTCTTTTAAATCATATCTGTGGCTGTAGGTTTATGTCCCAAAGCATCCCACCTATGCTACAGCATCCAAGCATCCCATCCTCAGCGGTAGCACCTCTAAAGGCTTTTCCTTTCTTGTGCTTTGTTAGTATCCTCTTTTCATCCTTTCTAGTCTTTGAAATGCCTATTGTCTATATCAGAGTTCATGACCACCTCACCGTATTCATACTATCCCATCATTCTATGGTGTTTAAAGTGTCATTTTCTCACCGTTAACACATCAATGCATGTCCGTCTATACACCCCACTGCTTACCCATCATGCTTTGCCACCACCTCTGCATCCCAATGCTTGTGTGTTTGTCCTTTGTAGTGAGAAAGAGCGTCAGGAGCCAACACTGGAGACCCCATTAGATGAGAGTCCCGAGTGAGTATGTGTGTCAGGTGGAGTTCAGTTACAAAAATGGCACATTTTGATTTGCCAGTTTTGTTTTTTTGGTAACCTGAAATGCCACTCTTGTGACTCAAAGTGTGAGTCAGACACCTTAACAAAGTGGTTTGATACTACATAGTGGTTATGAACATATGCATGTTGGAAAGAGTGATGGTAACAATGTCTTTTCATGTTTTAGAACTTCAGAGGTCACAAAATCAGCAAACCAGGGCAACCTTGATGGAAGAGCCAGTAAAAAGGTGAATTTCAACTCAATCAAGACTTGAGTAAAAGTGTATTTATTTTTAAGGTTTTTATTAGGGTTAGGCAATATATTGAATATTTAAAGTGATTTAAAATGAGATTTAAAAAAAAAAGTCTGTTGTGCAATTTTTAATTCCAGAAGCCATTAACAGTAGATCAGAGGCCAGCTGAGGTCATTCTTATTTTTTTGTTAGTAATACTCTTAAATCATAACTATTATTAACATTATTATTATTCATTGCTGTTGTCGTATTAAATTAGAAGTTATTATAATTATAAATATATATTTTAATTTACATTATATTATTGGAATGTTTTTTATATTACATGCATACGGTTATTTGACATTTCTGAAATGTTTTCTTCATGAACTTTTAGAGCAAAGAATTTGATGAGTTCAACAAGATCACAACTCTACCACCCAGATCCCCAAGCTCTTCTCGTACTGCTGAGGATGACAGCTTCGGCACCAGGAAAATGAGATCTTCGTTTGGACGGGGATTCTTCAAGATCAAGGGAGGGAAGAGGACTGCTAGTGCCCCTAATTTGGGTATGACTTCTTTCTTACTTCTAGCTCAATATACCCATGGTCAATTACAGTTTCACTGTGATTAAAAAAGCTAAAATTACTAAAAATAAAAAACAGTCCAAACAAAAATTTGTTTTTTAGATTAAAAAGATCATGAGTCAAGAGTGCCGGAATTTAGTACAAACGCCCATTTACGGGCTAGACCTGCCATATGGCCTCTCTGAGGAAGGACAGAGAAGAACCTGGATGTGTCTTCATTTCTTTCTTTCCTTCAAGGAAAAATCCCTCACCTTGATGCATTTCCCCACACAATCAATTGGTTCTCTGACCATGTTGTACTGTTTCTAACAGGCTCTCCATTTCTGCTCAATGTCAGTATATTAAATAAATTTAAAGTCAAAACACACAGATGCAACAAGTATTTTACTGATTTTGAAAACCCAAATGATTGTGATCTGTAACATTGTAGGAAGGAACACATTTTATTTTATTTTAGCTTCAAGCTTGATTCAGAAAAGGTCTGTCTTTCGACAGGAAGAAATTTAGGAGCAAAGTTGGTTTATTTTCGTTTCTTTTCTTCATAGCAGGAGGTGATATTACATGAAGAAATGAATGGCAATTATGGGTGTTCTCTATGGGTGGACAAATCCTCTTGTCAAAATAATAGTCTAAATCGATGTGTTTAAACATTGGGCTCATGTGGTAGCCAGTGTGAGTCCTTCGAGATAAAGAATATAGATGTTCTGTCGTCATCGCATGTTATTTTGTGACCACATTATTACCCAGCACTCAAATATTCTGACCATGTTCTCACAACTCTGTATGTTCCCCTCACATCCAAACTACCATAAGAATGTACATTCAGGCTGGATTTAGTGCCATTCAATAACAATAATAATAGATGTTATTACTTCCATTGTGTTAACTTGCATGTAAGCATGTGACTTTGTTCCATGGTTCCACTCCTAAAATAAACCAAATCTAGTTGTTCTTCAGTCCAGACGAGAAGTCATCTGCCATCTTGCCTCATGATGCTGATTCCAGTAGTTCAAGGAAGACGCTGTAATTTTTGGGCTTTATTTCTTTTAAACTTCCTGTTATTCATGACATTTTTACTGCTCTGGTCTCCTACTGAACAACTGCCCTGTTTTTTCTCCCTTCCCATAATCTTTAGTTTATTTGATGCTTGACTGACCATGGTATTATGGGTAACGTAGTTTGCTGTGGTGACAACAGGACATTTTCTTTTCTTGTGTATGTGTTTGTTTGCACAGCTGAGACAGAGAGGGACGGCACTGACCATCTGGATCTGGCAGGCATGCCGCAGAGGTCAGCTGACAGTGACAGCACACACACTCTCCCCATTTCTCCGGAGGGCAAGAAAAAGTCAAAAGGAATCAAAGCTCTATTTGGAAAGTGAGTCTAAAACAGCTGCAGGGTTGGACGTTTCAGACACTTGGTGTCTTTCCTTATCTAGCATATTTTATATCCTGCCAGTGTTATTGTTAACTAAACCGAAAACTATTAAAAATTGGTTTTATTAATTGGAAAAATGCTTAAATAAAACAAATATTAGATAAAAAAAAACAACTAAAAACTTGAAATGTTGCTTTGGTAATTAACTAAAATAAAATAAGTTGAAGTACTAAAATTATTCAATCTGAAATATAAATTAAAGCTGAATAGAAAAACTAACTAAACTAAAACTAACTAAAAAAAATAATGAAAATGACAAAAGCACATACAAAATCATTAAAACTGAAAACAAAATTAAAATGAAAACTATAAAGAATAAAAGCTAATTCAAAATATTAATAAATACTATAATAGTAAAAAATAACACTGAATGCTGGATATTTAAAGAATAGATTATCGTAATACTTCATTTAATTTCTAAAAAAATATTATAATATTATAATGTTACATTATTCTAAAAAATTATAAGTATTATATTTCAAATATTATTAATGTTCTGATTTACTTCATATAAACTAAGCAACCTTTCTACTCTTTATTTACATGAACATAATTTAAAAATGTATTTTAAAAATAACCCTAAATGTTGCTTTCTGGCATTTGAAAATGGTCAAATGTTCATATATGTATATTGTGACGAGTCGGCTGCCTCCCCCTAATTATCAGCATCACCCCGTCCCTTAATCGCCACCCTTCGCCAGGCTCCCGACAGGAGTGGGGGCGTGAGAGAGGAGGGGCGCTGAAATAGCCGGGGCTGGCGGTGTGTAATGGGGCACACCTGACCCGAATGGAGCCTCATCACCACCGCTGTTTAAATGCCGAGCGCGCCTCTCCTCGGGTAGACCGGTCTCTTCCCCGTGCATGCACGCTGGTGCCCTCGTGGGTCCAGGAAGGGTGCGTAGAGGGACTCCCGCGCCGCCAGAGTCGTGAGCTGCCGGACCCGCAGTCCGGACGAGAACCGCACCCGTTACACGGCCGTCAGGCCAGGATGCCAGGCCGTCTACTACCTTCGCGTCACAGTGACACAGGATAGAGCTCCTTTTCGAATTGGAAAGATCTGCTGTTGGGAAACACACCCTGGTGACGGACTTACATGTAGCTTATTGATTCAGAGTTTCAGTTCCTGATTAAAATCTCATTTATTATGTTGTCAATTTTGTGGTAAATGGTCAAATGGCAAATATCTCCAGCAGTCACTGTCTTTGTACCTTCTAAGATCTGCTTGTTTGTGTTTTCCAGTGAGCTGGATGCACCGTTTGCACGCTGGTCCCGGGGGCAGGTGTGTGATTGGATGCAGGAGCAGGGACTGGGGTTGTACGTGAGTTGGGCAAGGCAGTGGGTCGCCTCAGGCCAGACGCTTCTGCAGGCATCCCAGCAGGATCTGGAAAGAGTGAGCTCTTATTACTCACAATCAGGATGAGAGCATATAGTGGAGTCCAAATGTCTGAGACCACGTTTAAGTCTGGTAATAATGGTTTTCCGTCTGAAATTCATGCTTAAGGACTGTTCTACCCTCTGTATGCAGGAGCTGGGAATAAAACACCCTCTACACAGGAAGAAACTGCAGCTGGCCTTGCAGGCATTGGGCTCAGAGGAAGATGACAACAAAGGCAAACTAGACTACCACTGGGTGACAAGTAAGGAATGGATGTTTATTCATCCGCAGTATCAGATTTGTTGTTAAATTGTTATAAAACTAAGGCTGAATGTATCAGATTGTTTTTCTTAAGCCCTTACCTTCTGTTCTAGGGTGGCTTGATGATATTGGCCTCCCGCAGTACAAGACTCAGTTTGACGAGGGACGTGTGGATGGACGTATGCTTCACTATATGACTGTGGTTAGTCCTTTTCCTTGTCAATATCACGTTTTGACATATAAATGAAAGTTTTAATCTGTGAATAAAAGGTTAAACTAGCTTTTAATGTTTTTGAAAGAAGGCTGCATTTATTTGATAAAAAATACAGAAAAGTAAAAACATTAATATTGTGAAATATTATTACAATTTAAAATACGTGTTTTCTATTTGAATAAATTTTAAAATGTCATTTATTTTTGTGATGGCAAAGCTGAATTTCAGTCATTAGTCCAGTCTTTAGTGTCACATGATTTCTAAACTGCTTAGTTGAAAGTTGTTCATGTCCACTCTCTCCTGTCCATGCTGAACAGGATGACCTATTGTCTCTGAAAGTGGGCAGTGTTCTTCATCACCTCAGTATTAAGAGAGCCATCCAGGTGCTCCGGCTCAACAACTACGACCCCAACTGTCTGCGGCGAAGACCTTCAGATGAGGTAGGAAGAGAGACCAAACTCTAATCTGTGCTGTCCTGTTGTTTTTTTTTTACTTATACTAGCAATCCTTATGTTCACCTTTATTTCAGAACAACATAAGTCCTGCTGAGATCTCTCAATGGACCAACCACCGTGTGATGGAGTGGCTGCGGTCTGCTGACCTGGCTGAATACGCACCCAACTTGAGGGGCAGTGGAGTACATGGAGGACTGATGGTGAGAAATTACTTTGTACTAGTTTAGGTTATTGGTTGGAATGGTTAAAAATTTGCACTGGAATCCGAAAAGTTGTAGGTTAAAGGCTTGAAAGGGTTGATCCATGAACACTGTACCCCCTTAAGGCCCCGATATACTCACAGTGAAGTTATGTTTCGTCCTTTGTGCCCATGCTGCTGAAATTGGCATTTACATGAATATGTAAATATGTTCTGCACGCTTTCCTCTCAGTAACAAAATAAACACAATAAAAATGACAGTGGTGAGAAAACAGCAATTAAAAAAGCATCCGATCATAGTGATGTGGATATGTTTGCTCCAGCTCTACATTTTGGAATTTCAAGTCATATTTCAAGTCAAGTTATATTTATTTATAATATGGAAATAAATACATGTGGGAATAAATAAATGAATGCATATATAAATAAATATTCCAAAAAAGCAAATGAAAAAAAATTAATAAAAATAAGTCTTAAAAAGAATAAAAATAGTGAAAAAAAATATATATATTTAAAGAAAATGTATTACAAAAAGACTACATTTAATTTAAAATCACTTATTCCTTAGCAGGTTTGGTCCTCCATAGCTTTACAGTAATAAACATGAAAAAACACGTCAATTTCTACTATAAAGCAGCTTTGCAGTGTGTTCATGTTTATACTTGTGGAGCCTCAGAACACACCTACCTATTAAGTAATCACCACAGACCAATGGTAGTTTGGCCAGACTGAACTTCTCTGGAAAGTTTGCTTTTGTCAAGCTGTTTTGGTCTGATTTTGTTCATCATGATGTCACACAAGTTCATTCTTTGATTCACTTGAAGCCTTCCTGTAGCTCAAACAGTAGAGCAGGATGCTAGCAAGGTCATAGGTTTGATTCCCAGGGAAAGCAAGAAGTGATTAAATGTGTACCTTGAATGCAATGGAAGTCACTTTGGATAAAAGCATCTGTGAAATGCATAAATGTAAATGTAAAGTATACCGGGACCTTTATCATAGCAGTTAACCCCAGGTTGCTAAAGTGAAAATAAAGCTGAGGTAAAAGCATCTGCAAAAGTGCAATTTTTTCTTATCAAATGGGCATCATTTTGTTCGTGGTTTCAGGTGCTGGAACCTCGCTTCAATGTGGAGACAATGGCTCTGCTGCTGAATATTCCCCCCAACAAGACTCTGCTGCGGAGGCATCTGGCTACTCACTTGAACCTGCTGGTGGGTTCTGAGGCCCAGCAACTCAAACAGGAGTGTCTAGAGAACCCAGACTACACCTTACTCACCGCCACAGCTAAAGTCAAGGTATGATGCAGAACACCTCCAGACCATCTACTGCAGAACTTGCATGTGATTCATTCATTTTGGAGTTCAAATGCTGACATATTTTTATTTTAAATGCCGTCTGTGTCAAATTTAGCCGCACAAGCTGGCGTTTGGAGGGTTTGGTAGGAAGAAGAAGCAAGAGGACAATGAAGAGTATGTCTGTCCCATGGATGTGGAGATGCCCAAAGGACGCAGCTTCCAGAAAGGCTACAGAAGCATGGAGCTCCAGATCTATGATGATGACCTAGATCGATTCGACCAGGTAGTGATAGAAGCTTTCTGGTGCATGATGGAATATGATGCTTTACTTTGCTACAGTGTGAAAAGCAGTGGCCGCTGGCACTGATCGACCTGGCTGTCTGGTAGTCAGGTTAATCGTTTAGCATTTAATACCACAAAAGTCATGTGGCAGATTTGCGGAATAATAATTTAACTACAATATTTTAAATATTTAATATATCTAAATATATAATACATTTATTATTTGTATATTCATTTATATAAATATTTTGTGTTTTCATTTTAAGTTTCAGTCAACTGAATTTAATGTAAAAAAGATTAATAACATTTAATGCATTTAAGTTTCATTTTTAAATGATCAATAATTACCTAAATTATTAATATTTACTAAATATTTACCGATATTTTAATATTTAATTTAAAAATAATAGATTTTTAAAGGCAGAGTAAGTGATTTCTGGTAGCCAATGTTGATATTTGAAATCACCAAAACAAACACGCCCCTACCCCAAAAGGGTCTTGCCCCTATTTTGATAGCTCCGCCCCACATATACGTACGCAACCCAGGCAACGATTAGTTCTGTGAAACAAAGCAAAACCAATGTTACACCGTGTCTACGGACGTGAGCGGCGCGGTGCAACAAATCCCCGACAGAAAACTGGATCAGCGCTGGAAAGCTGATCCGATATTTACACGGGTCCTACTTCTTGCCTTATCGTTCCACAGACGTTTTCCTCTTGTTTTTTATCCACCATCTCTATCTTTCTGTCGCTCGGCTCGGCTAATGTCCGTCCCATGCACTGAAAGCTCTCTCCTCCACATCACGAGTAGACACGCCCCTTATTGCTGATTGGCTACAAGTTTGTTTTGCTATTCGGCCCGAATCCGTTTTCTAAAGCGTTTTTGAAAAATCACATACCCTGCCTTTAAGTGTTTTTGTAAGCAGTCTCTTTATGCTCACAAAATTTGCATTTATTTGATAAAAAAAAAAAACTGTAAAAGCAGTAATATTGTGAAATATTATTACAATTTAAAAGAATGATTTTCTATTGTAATACATTTTAAAATGTCATTTACTTCTGATAATTTTGATTTCTGAAGGATCATGTGACACTGAAGACCAGAGTAATGCCAGCTGAAAATTCAGCTCTGCCATCACAGCAATAAATTAAATTGGAAAATTTATTACAATAGGAAATCATTCTTTTAAATTGTAATAATATTACTGTATTTTCTGTATTTTTGAAAATATAAATGCAGGCTTGGTGAGCACAAGAAACTTCTTTCAAAAACGTAAAAAAAATCTAAATTATTCCATATGGTCAGTTGATTATTCAATCGTCAATAACCTTAAATCAAATCATTAAAAACAATGAATCGATCATTGATTAATCATTAACACCTGTATGACTTTGTTCCTCTTTGCAATCCCCAGATGGAGGACTCTGAAGGGACAGTAAGGCAGATTGGCGTTTTCTCAGAGGGCATCAACAACTTAACGGTAACAAGCAGCTGCACATCTGATCTCACTTGTGTTGCTTTATATATACAGTGGTGTGCTTGAGCCTAAACTGTGCATCCTGTGTTTTGTGATCAGAGTATGCTGAAGGAGGACGAGTTCTTCAAGGGGATCTCCACGTTCCCCAATGCCAGTGTGAAGGATGATGACTCCAACGTGTGAGGGTACCGCAGGGACACTCTCGCCCCTAGTGCTGCTGCTTTAATATGAAGTGACTGTGCCAATCCTTCTGCCAACACCTCCACACACGCACCTCCATCTGAATGCCAAATATATCAAACAGAACCACGTGTCAGCTCATAAAAACACCAATTTAAAGTATTTTAATTGCCTTTTAAGAACATTTTGTTTAATAATTAATGTCTCATAAAGGTAGATGGAAGAATGTCTGCCCTGTGTGTGTGTGTGTGTGTTAGTGGTCATTTTTGTTTTTTGTGGATCGATGTGATATGATTTATAACTATAATGAGTAGCAGTCCTGCTGTAATCTGCTGGTCATTGGATAGATACAGTATGCATTCTTTTTCATCTGCCTGCCTAAATCTGTGACAGATGGTTTGTGCCAGTTATTATGGTGACAGAAGAGCACAAGGACACTTTCAGTCAAAATCAAAGATATATTTGATTAAATTGTTGATAAATTAAAGTTGTACACTGCCAATAATTAAATTAGCAATAAACATCAATATTTTTGAATGATCTTTCCAGGTGCAGTCTTAAACATATGATAGGGTTTTTAGTTGTATTTTGACCTGTACATTTTAGTTTATCAAGCCAATACATGCATTGATACTGCATATGCTTTGTGTATTTGCATGCAGAACTCTGTACAATATACTTTACATCTGGTTTGTAAAGGTTTGCATGTTATTTAAGTCTCATTTGGATAAAATATCAGCAAAATATTGTTACTTTAATAAAAGTTCATTGTGAATTATTTTTCCTCTGCTGCAGTACTTTAGGATAGCAATAATGTTCTCGTTTATGTAAATGCTATCATGTAGCATGAATCTTTAATGCAATACTGGCATGTGCACAAAATTGTAAGCAGCTGAAAATTATATTGAAAATATAGTGCCACTCATTACCATTTCAGTTACATGTTTGTACTTTGACTTTTACTAATTTTTAAAGGTGAATAAAATGCTGAAAGCATGCAGGCTTTAATTGTTTGTTGTATTCATGTCAATTAGTTACACAATTGGTAAATTCTACAAACAATAGTGTATGACTTGTTACTTGTCAGAGCAGAAATTCTTCAATGAATGAAGATTGTGAATGCAGGTCCTTACATACATTTTTAAGATAACCATTTTACAAAGAGTAACATTGCTGTCAAAATAAATACTGTAGTTATCATAGCAATTGTTTCCACAATATAGCTGTGGCTTTGCCACCACAGTCATACAAAATACATTTAAAATACATTAAAATGACAGTAAGCGCATTTTGTGGAGAAACTATTTTGTACCATGGTAAAGGGACAGTACATAACTTAATCAACAGCGCCATCTATTGGACAATCTCTAGACAATTGCTTGTCAGCATTTTATAATAAAATCCTTTTTTTTTTTTTGTGTGCAATTTTAGTGGCAATTATAAATTAATGTAAGTTGTTTCCATGCTTTCAGTATTAAGTTTTGACTTGGGTTATACATTATGTCCAGCTTTTGCTTTCAGTTCTTAGAAATAAACTGATGAAAAGAGTCCTTGTCCTTCATGTCATTGTGTGACTGTTTCCAGTTGGCTTTCAGTAGGGGGCGCATGAGAGCTCAGAGAGACAAACCGTATTCAAATCTCAGCAAGTCTTTTGGCTTATTGAATATATTTGTGTACAGAAATCTATTATAGTTTTCATGCAGATTATTACTATCTGATATACAAATGGAAATCTTCCTCTGTCGTCTCTATGAAAACTATCATATCAAATCTTTATACAAGTAATCACACATGCATTAGTGTGATTGTCCACCCTGACCAGCGCGGAGAAAAGAAACGATTACATTGTGACAAAGTGTTCCGCGTGCTGCTTCAGCAAACTTCATAGTTTAAACTTCAATAATTACATTTTATTAGTCCGTGAATTAGAAATAAACAGTGAAAAGGTAATGTGGGTTAATTATTAGTTAGGTTTATCATTCTTGACCAAACATAGACAACTTCTGCTAAGGTCCGCCCACTTATGTTCCCGTTTGATGTAAATGTTCATTCGACCCCCATATACGATTTCTGTGATAGAAATGGATCGACGCAACATATTTGGGTGTATTCAGGCATGAGAGCATCGCCAGGGTCCACTTAACCGGGCGAGCTCTTGTTGTGAGACGTTCAACAAAACGAAGAAAACTGCACAAATAACTCGCGTTCATCTGTGCGCGCATCAAACCAAACGCAATGCGCAGGGGGTAGGTAGAAAACTTTTTTTTAATGTTTTGCATACACTTGTACGTCTACGTTTTTTTTTTTTTTTTTACTTTTGTCTATGTTTAATCTGTTTTAAAAGCATAATTGTCTTGCAAAAGGTCATTGAGTTTAACGTGTTGATCTTTAGTACCTTTGTTGTTTCCTCTTATTTTTAAGTTCATGTGTTTAGTGTTGATCAGTTATTTATTAGAAAATTCTCTCTGCTTTTTACCTTCTTCTTTTTTTTTTTTGCATTATTTTTGCACTCTCCTTTACTGTAAGTCCCAGGAGGTTAACTTTTATGAACTTAAATTAAATTATTGCATAATTTATGTTCATTTAAGTGGCATGAAATGTACTGTACACAGTATATATATACAAAAAAAAGATAAATAAATTAAAGCAATTGTAAAGTGTTACTTATATGTTTGTATGTTGCAGGTATTATTTTGGATGGATCATTGTGCTCTTGGCTCTGTTTACTTTTAGTGATGCATCTAGGTAACTTCTTTTCTAATTGTGCCTATTATATAAATGCCATTTACTACACCTGAGAACGTTTTGTACAAAATTTACGCACATTTTATACAACTCACTTTTTTCCCTACATTCTCAGTCAAACTGTCAACCAGGAGCTTTCAAATATTTTCAATGAGCTCTGGAAGCTGGATGTGAATCGCCTGAGCCCTGGGACTCAGTACAATATCTGACTACAGGTGTCAGTATTTTAATGTCAAACAATATTAAATCTAATGACAGCTCAAGTGTAACATTAAATTGTCTTACATTTCTTTTAGGGCAAAGCTGGTTACATACCACAGGGAAGCACCAGTGCGGTAGACCACGCCTCATCCTCACTGTTTACCAGTGTCGATGAGGCCAAACTGAACTCCATTACCACTTATGCACATATGTTTCTTTTGCAAAAAAAACCGGTGAAATATCGGGTGGTGTGTACTTCCGAATGTCCAGCAATTCGTCTCTGGTGAAACTGATCGCAGGGATATAACTAAAGACAGGACAAACTAACAAAAACATAAAAACAACTGCGGAGCACGCCACGGAGGCAGCCATCAGCGTCGGCGCACTTACTTGCGATTGAAAGCTGCGTGTTTGTAATAATCATATACATTATATACATCTTGGATGGCCTGAGGGCGAGTCAATTTTCAGAAAATTTTAATTTTGGTTGAACTATTGCTTTAAATCTTTTATCTCATAAAAAAAATACATGTTTTACTCCCTCAGCGTGCCCACCGGTACCTGATTGGAAAGAGAAAATCACGCTCAGTTCTGAGACAGTTTAAGAGTCAGTTGTACTACATGTGGTTCCGCCTTTATCATAGAGACAGAAACGGAGGGTAAGCCACTTACACCAGTACAACATAAAAAAAATGTGTGTATTTTATTCCATATCAGCTCTAAATATAAAAAAATATATATCGCTTTTTTCCAAAAAGCGTCTTACATTTCTTTTAGGGCAAAGCTGGTTACATACCACAGGGAAGCACCAGTGCGGTAGACCACGCCTCATCCTCACTGTTTACCAGTGTCGATGAGGCCAAACTGAACTCCATTACCACTTATGCACATATGTTTCTTTTGCAAAAACCTCTAACTGTCAGTTTGCACAAAAGCTTATTTATCCACGGAGCTGTGCTGAAACATGCCTTTAACAGGGACACAGCAAGATCCTTTATAAAATGTAATTGTGTTTAAGCAGGCAGTTAATCTTAAAGTTGATTGGTGGAATTCTGAATGCTGTTATATGTTGCATTCAGTCTCTCCTTTTGATTTATGAGCGAAACCACATGGTTGCTTGAAGCAACATGTTACCAGAAATATTTGAATCTGAAATGCTAATCTGAAACCCTCACGCATGTAAACTTAAATCACATCACATATTTTGGATACACAGTATTAATCATGAAATAGATATAAAATAGAAGGTAAGTAAAGGTAAATCAGGAGCATGAAAAATCAGATCAGCATTAAAATATTTTACATAGAGGAGCATAAGTTTTCAGTCTTATTACTTTGTTTTTAAGTGTTTGAAACTTTACAAATTCGCAAAAAATCTAGAAGAAATGAAGTAAAGGAAGGTTTACATTTGTTTCATTTACATGTGTGACTGAATATAATATTTACCCACCCAAACGACCAGACATGAAATTGTTTTCACCATCAAAAAAGGTCTTTTGTGATTTTAAATGGTGATTTTGCTTACCTCTCAACAGGCTTCATGAAGCTTTTGGACAACTATGAGAGATCCACTGGTGTGGCAGAGAGGGTGACCGCTCAGGAGGTGACCGAAAATAACTCCTTTCTGGATGCTATTTTAGAGACAGCAGTCATGAAGGTATGAATTCACCCTCTAATAACTCAAGTTCTATCCTTTACCACATCGAAATGCATCTCTTTCTCTTGTGGCAATAACAGAGGCAATAACAAAAATGAAAAGTTGTAAAGACTGTGTGTAAAGATTTAGTGAAAGATTCTCTAAAAGACAAGTTCAACTTTTTTCCTGTTGCTAACCAAAATATTGTGGTTGTTCCCTGCCACACCCTGTTCTTGGAAGCTGCATATTATGACAAGGGGAAAAGCATGTGGAAGAATGTGTGATGATTCTGCTGTCATTAGATTAGAGCATTAAAGGAATAGTTTACCCAGAAATGAAAATTTGCTGAAAATTGACTCTTAGGCCATTCAACATGTTTCTTCATTGGAACTGATTTGGAAAAATGGGGTCTTCACAACTGGGTCCAGTTTTACCTGCAAGAGAAGCAGGAGATTCTTGATTACAAGGGCTACAAAGCCAGGGACAATGATGTGGTACTTTTTTCATCAATAAATCTGAAGAAAAATATATAAGAATTTATTGTTCTATGTGCAGTCTTTGCTGAATCTGTGCTTGTTTTTCTTCCATGCAGCCTAATGAAGATGACCACGTCTTGAATGTGTAATTCAGCTGGCATGGTTTGGTCAAGCCAGTGGCCAGCGCCTTTGTTGGTGTGAGTCCTGAGTTTGAGATGGCTATCTTTACCATTTTGTTCCTCACATCCACTGAGAAGACCACCACAGCTGTGGTCAATCTGGATGAGTACCAGCTGGAGATGGTGGTGCATAGACGCGGCCGCTCTATCGGGACCGCTTATCCCAAACTGCTGAGCAGCAACAACAGACACGTATAGATCCCACAACTGTACTACCCTGACAGTAGCTTTCAAGCTTTAAAAAAAAAAAATCTGAAATTTTTTTAAAGGCATATTGTAATTTTAGATAAGTAGACATTTGTTTTGTATTGGAGAAGTCTTACTTTTAGATGCTTGTTTACTTTGCTAATATGTTTAACAAACTACAGTATGCTCATGTACAGAGTTTAACTGAAGTTTAAATCTGAGCAAATATTTCATTTCCTCAGAACTGCCTTTCATACAGTGGTAATTTCTTCTGTCTTTTATATCTATTTGCTTATTTTGACCATGACTGCTGTTATATACTTAGATGGTAATGGAAAATAGAGATTTAACATTAAAAATAATTTTTGATCCACTTGTGTGATTATTTGCAGAATTCAATTACATTTATGAGTTGCTGACATGACATAAGCAGTGACAGCAGTGCTTTACCTCATATAGTTACTATAAACAACTCATGATTATTGTATAATTGTTACAGATAGAGATTCATGGCCTCATATTAATGAAAGACAACGGGCAGTATTTGTACATTTAGAAATTAATTTGTCACACCACAGGACTAATTATGTAAACAGAAATAAATTATTACATTAAAAAATAATGTCATTACTAATTACGAAAAATATGGTGACTACAGTGTCTCCAAATGTTCACTTCAAACGTCTGAGAACACTTGTGAAAATGCGTCTACTTTACAAGTTAATACAATAATTAATTAATACAAAAAGTAAGAACATTTGACTTATTGTATGCATGGTCAGTGTCAAAAATTTGCTTATCTAATTCTGTTAGTGATTTCATACTGTTTAAATAACGATTTTAGTTACATTAGGGAGAAAGAAAAAAAACCGTGGACGTTGGTCGGAATACATACGCGCACGTACGTTCCTCCCCGGTCTGATTTTCATGCTACACCTCACACTTTCACGTGTAGCGCAAACTTCCGTTCGGAGTGTGTTTCACCTGGCTCCGGCGTGTATGCTGGTTTCCTAACTTATATGATATTATTCGCATTTGCGGTTTATTGCCATCATAACTAATAACAGACATGCTGCAGGAGGAGTTTGGGGAAATGACTCCCCAGCAGCTCGCTGCTCCTGTCGACACTGTGGAGGTGAGTGAGTAGTGGCATGAGTACAACTGTCATAAAATAGCAAACGTTATTATATTTGTTAGTTATAAAATCCCCATATCCTCTTCTGTATTGCAGGAAAAGTGGAAGCTGCTTCCAGCCTTTTTGAAGGTAAAATAACCAGCGTCATCATGAGAATCATCATAATAAATGCAACATATGAAACGTATGATCTGACAGTAGCATATGGATAGGAATGCTGTGCTGTTTTAAAGAATAAATAGTTTAAAAGTATATTAAACAACATTTTCAACTTGTGTAGTTATTATTTATGCAATTTTATTACGTCATATTAATCAAAGAAATACATACTTGGACTTAATTTGTCTCACCACAGAAGTATTTAAGTGAACCTCAAAAATAACTTGTTTGATTATATATAAAAGTTTATTTAAAAAAAAAAAAAAGATTACAAATGTAAAATCTTGATGTTGAATCGCAAAGTAATTTATTTGTGTTATTTGTCAACTATCTATATACATGCTCTTTTCTTCTTATACATACATTCTTATAATCCAGCAAGAATTATGTTGAATGATTTAAAGCCTCAAATTTCATGTTCATGTCATTTTTTTTACTATTATTATTATTATTATTATTTATTTATTTTTAGGTTAAAGGCTTAGTTAAGCAGCACATCGATTCCTTCAATTACTTCGTCAATGTAGAGGTTTGTTGACTTGTTTAAAGATGGTACAGAGTTCTCTACATATACTGTAAATGCAATACATTTATTGTCAGTTGTGGTTTCCATGACATCACATTATGGATTTAATTTCTTTTTGTACCAGCAAAACAATTTGATATTGACAAAAAGCTTTAGTAGCATAAACCTAATATCTACTAATCTCTCCAGATAAAAAAAGATAATGAAGGCGAACAGAAGATCACAAGTGATGCTGACCCAATGTGGTATTTGAAGTAAGGATATTCAGTTGACAAGGCAACATTTCTCTTTTTTAAATCTTATATTTATGTTTCATTTTATATCAGCTTAATTTCAATTACCGAAAATTATTTTTGTGGTTTCCATGACATCACATTATGGATTTAATTTCTTTTTGTACCAGCAAAACAATTTGATATTGACAAAAAGCTTTAGTAGCATAAACCTAATGTCTACTAATCTCTCCAGATAAAAAAAGATAATGAAGGCAAAGAGAAGATCACAAGTGATGCTGACCCAATGTGGTATTTGAAGTAAGGATATTCAGTTGACAAGGCAACATTTCTCTTTTTTAAATCTTATATTTATGTTTCATTTTATATCAGCTTCATTTCAATTACCGAAAATTATTTTTAATCGTTTTAGTTATCCAACACTGCATGTTACACCTCATCTGTCCCTAGATATCTCAATATCTACGTTGGCATGCCTGATGTAGAAGAAAGCTTTAATGTAACCAGACAGGTGTCACCACACGAGGTAACATCTTTATCTGTGGCCTAAAGAATATTCTCATTTAAAGCAAACTTAAAAGCTTTTTGAAGAAAAAAAAAAGATCAAGATGGCAGTATTTGCTCATGATGATTATGCTTTTTAACCACTAGTGTCGTCTGAGAGATATAACGTATTC